AACCTATTTGTAGGGCAGCAATAGAGACAGAGACATAGAGAACACACTTGTGGACACTGCGAGGGAAGGAGAGGGAAGGATGAACTGAGAGAGTAGCACTGAAACATATATTATCGTATGTAAAATAGATAGCCAGTGGGAATTTGCTGTAGGACACAGGGAGCTCAACCTGGTGCTGGGTGACAACCTAGAGGGTGGGAGGGAAGCTCAAGAGGGAGGGGACAGAGGTATACTTACGACTGACCCATGTTGATGTTTAGGAGAAGCCAACACAACATTTTAAAGTAATTATCCTCTAATTTAAATAAATTCAAGATCCATGCCATGTGGGTACTGGAATGATTTGATAATGGGTAGCCTTTCCCTTCTCCAAGGGATCTTCCCAACCCAGGGATCAAACCCAGATCTCCCACATTGCAGACAGATTCTTTACCCGCTGAGCCACAAGGGAAGCCCAAGAATACCAGAGTGGGTAGCTTATCCCTTCTCCAGCGGATCTTCCCAACCCAGAAATTGAACTGGGGTCTCCTGCATGACAGGTGGATTCTTTACCAACTGAGCGAGCTATCAGGGAAGTCCAAATAACACGTCAGTATATTTTAAAATATTTTATTGGCCCAAGCACTTTGAAGGGTCTAGGAATATTGACCATGCCAGATTCTCGGTTAAAAATCCTGAAGAGCTCTACCTCAAGAGCAATAGCAAACCAGAGGTAGACACATCCTGACAAGAGCCATAAGTCAGCCTCAACCCAGCAGAGTCCCTGTCCAGATTAAGGTGATCCATCAACGCGTATATGCCTATGATACGATGAACCTTCTAGAAGGGAATGATGAACCTTCTAGAAGAAGAGAGCATAAACAACCAAATAATATGTTTTTAAGTCACCGACACTTAACTATCCATGGATCCGATAAACTTCTCCCCTACACGTCCCATAGCACCCTGTGCATACACCTCTATTCCTGTTCATATCACCCAAGGCTGCAATTCTGTTCACTTACTTGTCTTCAGCATTATGTCCAGCTTCAGGGTGAAAGATGACTCTTTTATAGGTCTCCAAAGAAACATTAAACAGATATTTGAAAAATGCAGAGCATCCTATTTTATAATGCATTAGTGGCCATGGCAATGGACGTGTCCAGGAGTGGGAGCACCACACACCTGGATGGCATTTTTCAATAATAGGCCATGTAGTCCATCTCAGCTTAGTGCTTTCTTCACATGTATTTCAAATACTTTTTATGTACACCAGATATGGACTGTTTTGCATGGACACATTCAAAAGATGTCTTCCAGCACAGAGAAGAGCAGGGGAGGAGACACAAGATGCTAGTACAATACTCTTTATACACTCACATTCCACGTGAGCAGAACAGCGAAGGAATTACACAAGTGCGAAGTCAGCAGAGGAATTACACAACAGTAGCTACTACCTGTGGTAGCATTAGGTTCCCTACCCTGAAGATGCTTGTCCCAAACACAAGATTGTCACCGTCTTTAAATTAGGAAGTCAGATATCAGTGGTTTCTAACACACGATAATTGCAACACATTCTTCTCATTTAAACGTATGATCCACCCTTCCTCCTTTATGCAATTTTATTTTAAATTAAAGTGAATTATCACTGTTACTTTGAGGGGAAAGAATTTCACAATACCTTCTGAGGCAGTTGAACACACCACAGGGTGTTGCAAAAGCAAGGTTGAAAAATCACTGCTTCAGAGTTTCTGTTAACTGATTTTTATCCCCCAAATTTCTCAAAACTTTAATTTTTCTTCTAGTTTGAATTTTTCATTTAAAGCATTTCAGTCTTGGAAACCAACAAGTCCCTTAAGGAATACAGAACCTTGAATGCAAACTGTTCATCTAATCTCAATGCACCCGGCACTCTTGTAGATGCTAGGATACAACAGGAAACAAAACAAACTCTATTCTCTCAAGAAGCTTCCGGTCCAGGGAATAAACATGGTGATCATGTATCCCAGTTCCCCCAGGACTGTCCCATCTTAACAGTGAACATAAAAATCCCAGAAAATCCCTCTCTCCTGAACAAGGGCATTCGGTCACCTGAGCAGAAATAGATACCTAACAAATAGCCACAAATTTATCAAATGGTGAAAAAGTGCAATAAAAAGACAAATAACCCAACTTAAATATGGACAAAGGATTTGAATAGACATTTCTCCAAAGATATTTAAATATATATAACCACCTCATATATTTTTATTAACCTTCTGGGTATCCTATAAGCTACTTCAAAGTACTGTTTGGAAAGATACAGGGTACCCTCCAGAGCTGTGTAGACTTTACCCAACTAGCGAAGGTTGTATCCAGTTGTTTCTCTAGGCTTTCCCAGCTCACTCACTAGTCTATGAAGCAGCACTGGGTAGACTGCTTGAGGTCTGAGATCAACTATAGCTAAAGACAGGTGTTCCCCTAGATGTGTGATCTTTCTTTTAGACATAGTGCTTTGACCTTTTGGGCTGTTCTTCTGTAGCTAATTTCTCAAAAACATTTAATGGTAACTCCACTCAAAACTAAACATCAGATAAGTGAAGCTATAATATAAACTCCAACACAACAATATAAATCTAGGTCAATTTCCTGAATACTAAAACCAAAAAGTGGAATAAGATAAAACTTAAAGCCCTTTACAGCTTTTAAAGTCCACACTCTAGTCAAAACAAATAAATAAGTATATAAATAAATAAATAGAAAGATAAGGTCTAATACACTCACAATCCTTGCCAATATTGAAGATGTGCCTTGCAAATTTTAAAGGCAATTCCAAAAAGATAAATTGTAAACATGTATTTCTTATCGTTTCCATCGGTTTCCTCTTGCATCATCTTAGCTTAAAGCCTCTTTCCCACCTCCACCTAGATCTCTACAACAGTTCTCCATTCTCTTCCTCAATTTCTTATCATCTACTATATTAACCACACTACTGTTAGACAATTCTCCATGCTTCATTTCCTTCAGTGACGCTTAACCTAGAATTCAACGCATTATACAATCTCACCCTACTTTATCTTTTTAACCTTTTCTAGCCCTTCCTTATATTAACTTACTCTTCAGCAAACCTGTCAAGCACCTTATTCTACAATATATTATACCTATCATTTGTTTATGTCATTCCCTCCCCGTGAAACACTCTCCACCATACTGCCCCCACTTTCACTGTATTCTGCAAATATTGATACAAATCTCACCTCCACAACAAAGCCTTTTCTGACAAGTATCCTTAAACTTCTGGAGCACTTAGCCTCTTATATAACTTTGGCATTTAGCATATGCTACCTTCCACCGGGCAGGTTTAATACAGGAGAGATTTATAGGGGTACTTCTGCCTTATTTTCTTCAGGTAAGGCCTTCAGCTTCAACATGGGGTGAATTTGTAATACAAAGCATTTAAAGGGAAGTGAAAATCGCTCAGTCTTGACCGACTCTTTGTGACTCCATAGACTATACAGACCATGGATTTCTCCAGGCCAGAATACTGGAGTGGGTAGCCTTTCCCTTCTCCAGGGCATCTTCCCAACCCAGGGATCGAACCCAGGTCTCCCACATTGCAGGCGGATTCTTTACCAGCTGAGCTACAAGGGAAGCCCAAGAATACTGGAGTGGGTAGCCTATCCCTTCTCTAACAGATCTTCCCGACCCAGGAATGGAATCAGGGTCTCCTGAATTGCAGGCGGATTCTTTACCAACTGAGCTATACAGGAAGCACTTAAAGGGTCCAAACTTAAACTAAATTCTTTTTTCAAAGCTTCAATTAAATTTTTTTTGGCATTTCTTTTCTCTTTTTTTCTTAAATTTTTTACTTTATACTGGAGTATAGCTAGTTAACAATGTGATGGTTGCTTCTGGTGGGCAGCAAAGGAACTCAGCCATGCATATACATGTATCCATTCTCCCCCAAACTTCTCTCCCATCCAGGCTGCCACATAACATTGAACAGATAAACTACAATTAAAAAAAAAAAATCACCTAAAGTAGCAGTTTATGTGTAAATATTAGAAATTTTGTAACAAATCCATTCTACTCTTGTCAACTGTATTTTTACAGTTGTGTTCCAAAATTTAACACAATTATTTAGGTTTGGGTTAATACTTCCTGTTTAATACTTCCCTTTTTAAAAAAGGGAGGGAGGACAAGATTTCAAAGCAAATTCTCAAACTTTTAATTAGAAACTTCAATGCAGCAAAAAGTTTTACAAAAAACTCAACTAAGAACAAATTTTTTGAACAACAATAGAACTTCTTATGGTACAAGCATCATAGCAAAATCAAAACTTGGGAAAGGAAAGAAAGAGACATTTTGTCTGGTCAGACCTTTTAAACAAAATGGCATATGTTTTTCTCTACCAGCCATGAAAAGCACACTTTTTATACAAACCGCATGTGCTCCGACAAGTATCAATTCTACCACCCCTTTCTCTGCTTTAAATCCAGAAATATTTTACTTCAATTACAAAGTTTTTGGTCTTGCTTAATAAAGAACACTTAATCTGATCTTTACCATTCTGATAATAAGACTGAGATAATGCGCATACAAGTCCAAATTTGCCACTTTCACTTCTATGCAAAAAAAAGGCCTCATGAAAAGCCGAGAAACACTCCCCTAACAAGTCCTGTGATGAAGTGTTAGTAAACATTAGAAAATTGATTGCAGGCATGAAATATTAAGTTAAAACAAAGAAAATGTTTTCAACATGTTTCCTTAAGCTGAAGCAACAATATTTTAACCAAAAGGCTAGAGGCTTTCTTTAATTCAAAATAGTCTTCATTAAAGATGCAATGAAGAAAAACAAAAAAAATTTATTTAAACAATTTTGGCACAAAACGAGTTGTACTTATTTCACAGGAGAGAGGGAAAAAAAGGGGTGGAAAAAAATCTATGTGTTCAGCAAATGTATCTGTTAAAGAATATGCAACTTTGTTTTCCTTTCAACAAATAAAGATCATCCGAACACAGAACACTCCTGTAGTACTCACATGCAGAGCCGAGGGATCTGGCAGGAACTCAGCATCTTCTCCAAAGATAAAATCGGGAGGCAGCTCTGGGTACTGGGCATTGAAAATTATATCCCCTGTAATACAGAAAATGTCAGTTCTTATTTCCTTGCAAACGTATGAATGATTGGAGCAGTGCATCAGAAAAACTTCTAACAAAAATATTGAAAAGCACTTTCATTTAGAAACAAAAAGAACTGATACCTTCTTTTAAATTAACATTCACAACATGCAGTCAAAAGTGCTACCTCCTAATACACTATACTGGAGAGGGTTGGCACGCCCTCCTCTAGGAAGAGCTTCCCAACCCTGGGATCGAACCTGCCTCTGTCTCCTGCATTGATCCCCAGGCAGGTTCTTTATCACTAGTGCCACCTGAGAAGCACATAAATATAAATACCAAGGTAGAAAATTAGAAACAACTACATCCACAGTACATGCAGATTTTGTTAATAGCAAACATGACTGTCCAATCGCTGCCTGCTAATTAATAAGCCTTTATCAAGGACTGATTTTCTAAAGATAAAGTCCAGACCTTGAAGAAATTAAGCATACAAACCTTCGGTATAATGGAAAGAACCTTTGGCTCAGAATCCAAAAAGTCAGGTTTATATTCACAAGATTTCTTAATTATTTATTAGTTCAAGTCATTTGGGCAAGTTTTAACTTCTTCAGTATTCAGATTCCTCATCAGTTAAAAAGGAAATATAATACTACTGACATCACAAGTTTGTTATGAGGGTAAAAAAGATAGCATGTCTAGCAGATGTCTAGCATACTGGAAGCACTCAACAAGTCATACAGGAGTACTACTGCTGTTATTACTAGTATTATATTCAAGCATAAGACAAAAACTCCTTGGCAAATGTGTCCTATAAGTTCTACCTCTTTTTTCTTCCCCTTTTTCCTTCTTTAACTTCCTTTTCCTTCCCCTCTGCTCACACAGAGTATCAGTCCTCATCATTCCACTAACAGATAAGCATATCCACACTCTGATACACATAATGGGTTCTAGTGTTTAAGACTGTATCTACTTGTATATATGCACACAACCGCTGCACCCAGGTACACACATAGTGTTATATCAGTCCAATCACTTTAACTGCTCAAACAATAATATCTTGGTAGCGATGTCTAAATTTAAACATTCAGACTTCAGTTTTCATTTGAGCCTAACTAATCCTGTGTACTATGGATTTCAACTTCAAACTCAACCAAGTCTAAAAATACGTACATGACTGTCACTTTTCTCACTCCTCTCTTCCCCTCACTGACTTCCCTATTTCTGAGGATGGCACTGCTACTCCTTAATCACCCAGGCTGAAACTTCAATGTCATCTTTGACCTGACCCACATCCTTATACTCTTAGAAAACAAGTCATCTCAATTCTTCCCCCAAAGTGCTTCTCATATACTATTTCCTACTGCTAACTGCTCAACCCAGGCTGAGATGACTTAGTCCATATATTTGTACATCCAAAGAACAAATATTTGAACTCTCATCTAGGCACTATGCTGAGCATGAAAAAGCAAATGAAGAACTCTGTTCTTAAAAAAGCAACAGACTAGAAGAATTATTACCACACCTCCCTAAGTGCTCTCCCAATACCTCCAACCCATAACACATGCTATCACAAAGCAAATCTTCTTAAAGTACTGCTGTGCCTCCAAAAATTTCAAATGGTTCTCTAACAGAGTAAGAGCAAAGTTTTCAAAATGGAATTTAAGGCCTCCAAAACACAATGTTCCTTATTTATCCACCCTTTTCTTTAGATATCTAAAAGCCAATAGTAATTTTCTATTCCAACCAACATAATCTACTCACTGACCTCCAAACTATGACACCTAGTTGAAATGCTCTTTCTCTTTGCTCAGTTCTTATTCATCCTGTGTGAGCCCCTTTAATTACCTTCTCTTGTATGACGCCTTTCCTAATAAATCCAGGACATACTGATCCTTGTTATTTGTGAAATTCAACAATACTGATCAGTTACGCCATTGAGTGAGAATACTTGACTGGAGGCTTACACTTAAGTGGCTCCATTCATTTTACAAATTCATAATAAACACATGGTATATGTGAGGCATTATGATATACATCATGTCAATACAAAGATGGTTAACCTCAAGGAGCTCACATTTAGTAAGAGGGGCAGAACACATACACTGAAGCACAAATACACAGCAGTACAAAGTAAGTACATATACTTGATCTTCCTACATATCTTACATGCAGTCAGAGAATAAACATGCTCATACTGACTTCATGTGTTTGACAGGGCAAAATATAATACATAAAGAAAATATTCAAGAAATGTTCAATATATGAAAGAAATTCTATTTTCTGAATTGGATATCTAAGTACTGACAAAATCTACAGTAAGGAATAAAGTATAGAAGAGTTACTTTTACCACTTTCTGTAGTGAATAAATCTGAACAAGGAAATACACTCATTAGAAGCTGGGTGTAGAGTTAAATTATCAAAAGTAATAAAATCACTACACCTTTCCTTTACCCTCACTATCATCATCTCTGGTTTTTAACTATATCTATTACAAATTATAAACCTCCTTCAAATGTGCTAACTATAAAGCATTACCCCAAGCTAAGACTAAGAGGCAAAGATAATATAAATGTTCTAATTATTCATTATTACTCAACTATACTCATAAGTTAATAAAACAGAGGCATTGAAGTTTTGGGGAAAGCCATGCTATAATCTATTGTGCCTTGATGCTCAAAAAATAAATAGCATGCTAAATTCCAATAGAAGAAATTTTGTTACTTTTGTTACTACAGGAGGACACAAAGCTGGATTTTCAAGTTCTCAAAGAAGCATTGTCAGTAATACATATTTCCAAACCACTAAACACTAGGAATCTGATCCAAGGATATCTACTCTTGCCAATTCTATTCAACACTGTACTGGAGGTTCTAGCCAGGGCAATTAGGCAAGAAAAAGAAATGAGTGGCATCTATATTGGAAAGAAAAAGCAAACTTATCTCTATCCACAGAGGACATGATCTTGCATAAAGAAAAGCCTAAGGAATTCACACATGCATACACTCAATGAGAACTAATAAACAAGTTTTGCAAGGTTCCAAGAATACAAGACAGATGTATAAAATCAATTGCTTTTCTATACACTACCAACAAACAATCCAAATATGAAGTTAAGAATATTTACAACTATATCAAGAAGAATAAAATACTTAGGAATAAACTTAACAAAAGAAGTGTGAAGACTTGTACTCTGAAAACTATGAAACATTGTTGAAAGACTTTAAGAAAGCCTACATAGATGGGAGATGAACATCTCATGTACATGGATCAGAAGACAATATTGTTGAGATAGCAATACTACCTAAATTAAGGTACAGATTTAAAGCAATCCTGCTGGCTTTTTTCTCTCTGGGCATAAACTGATAAACCACTCCTAAAAATCATGGAAACGTAAGGGATTCTGTATGAACAGAAAGTAATCCTGAAAAAGAGCAAAGTTGAAACACTCACACTTCCCAATTTCAAAACTGATTACAAATCCACAGTAATTAAGACAGTGTGGCAACAACATAAAGACAGACATACAGATAAATGGAACAGAACTCAGAGTCTAAAAATAAATCTTCTGTTTATAGTTAACTGATTTTTGGCAAGGGTGCCAGGACAACTCAATGTGGGTAAAAAGAGTTTTTCATAATTTGATACTCATAAGGTTGAGACTAAAGAAAAAAATGAGAGAGAAAGGAAGAGAATATAATAAGTGTTGGTGAGGTTGTGGAGAAATCAAAACCTTCATTTATTGATGGTGAGAATATAAAATGGCGCCATCACTTTGGAAAATAGTTTGGCAAGTCCTCAGAATGCTAGAGTTATGTCATGGCTCCTCCTAAGTATATACCTAAGAAAAATGAAAATATATGCCCACACAAAAACTTTCACATGAATGTTTGTAGCAGTATTATTCACAAAAGCCAAAAAGCAGAAACAATCCAACACTCATCTGATAAATGGATAAACAAAATATGGTATATACACAGAATATTATTCAAGTATAAAAAAAGATACTGATACATGCTACAAGGTGGATAAACCCTGAAAACTTTATGCTAAGTGAAAACAGCCGGACACCAAAGACCATATATTATATTATTACTGTATTACTCCCCTTCTATGAAATGTCCAGAATATATAAATCCATAGAGACAGAAAGTAGATCCATGGTTTCCAGGGGTCTGAAAAGGACGGAATAGGGAGTTACTGCTAATGAGTTCAAAGTTTCTTTCTGCAGAGATGAAAATGTTCTGGAATTAGTGTTGATGATTGCACAACTTCATCAATGTATTAAAAACCACTAAACTATACACTCAAACAGTGAATTACATGGTATGTGAATTATATTTCAATAAAGCCACTATTGTTGTTTTTTACTCTGATGCAAAAATTCACCTCACTTTCCGAACTTAAACACAAATAAATTAGAAGATGTTTACTCAATGGTTATGAGTAAATTACTTTTTACAAATAAAATCATCTTGAAAATGCAATTGTAGAGTTCTCCATTTAAAAAAAAAACAACTCTGCAATGAGTCCTTTTTAAAAGCAAATAATGTTTTTATAACATGAATACTTACAAAGATCTTTATTTTTCAAGAAGTTTCCCAATGGGTTTTTTTAAAGGAGAGTACTGGGTGGTGTTAATTTTTTTAATCTAAAAAAAATTTTAAGCTGCCAAAATTATTTAAATATACAAAAAAAAATTTTTAAGGAAACAATGTATACCAATGATTACATCCTCAACTGTAACAATCCTTTTAGAGAGAGAGACATTACCATACTACACAGAGTAAAAAATATTATACAAGTAATTTTCAAAACAAAAAATAAATTTAAAAGTCTTCCAGAATCTCACACTCTTAAACACTTCAGAATTTCTCAAACTCTTTACCTTCAACCTCAAAGAACTCCTAAAATACTTTACTTTAATACTGTATAGCCTCTTTGGAATAAAATGCAGCACTGTTTCCTTGATAGGAAGAACGGTCAGTAAATCAGTCAAGAACATTTATTAAAAA